AGAAATCAACTGAAAAATATGAAGTAAACATTGAGTACAAGGAGGACAAAAGTACCCATCCGAACCTGTCCCTGTGACAGCGGGACTGCGACTGCCGAGTTACTCAATTTTAATGATGAACACAAGATACTCTTTTTTTGTTTTTAAACTGACAGTACATAGCCGGAGAACCCACGCACTATTTAGCCTCCCGTATCACATCATAGGGTATAAGAAAATTCATTATTATGAATGAAATATTCACTCTTAAACAATAAGAGTGACAGATCTGGATTCTACAAACAATTTGCAATCGAATGAAAAAAAAAAATTGAAAAATAAAAATTTGTCGGCTAGATTCATGGACTATCTTGATTAATTAATTTAAAAAGACTCATTGACTCTTAAACGTTAAAAAGGGGTGTACAATGACCTGCTAACGAATTACAAACGATTCGATAGGGTCATTTGTTTGAAAATATTTTTTTGTCGGCTAATAGTATACTGCTTATTGGATTTATCTAGGGTAAATGTTACGTTCCAAGCTGGTTCTCCGTTGAACAGATGGCAGGTCCAATGCCCGTGGAGCGCTAAAGCACTCTGCTCCACAAGTGCGGGAATTTTCGAATAAAAATAATTGAACACGAACACCAATTTAATTAGATAATCCAATCGAAACGTTTATATTTACTTTTCAAACCTTAGAAGATATTTTACAACAACACTTTAGGTTTTTAAAACTTGAGAAGACGATAACAATTTCTCTCGAACTTCTCGTATCCACGTATGAGAATTAGGAGAATTCTCCACGTATGAGAGTAGGAGAATTAAATTCCCCATCAATCGATCCCCGTTGCATCCCTTAAGCTTTGTAACAAAAAAATATAAACTACGACAAAGTCATGGGTCAGTGAGAAAAATAATTTTCTTCTCGGCGCACAGTGATTTTTCACCATTCGCCCGCGAATTAAAAATTTGTCTCTCCCCTCCTAACTGAAAATAAGGGATGAAAAAAAGGCAGTTCGACGGAGAATTAAATTCCCCATCAATTAACCCTCTTTCATCCCTTAATCTCAGTAAAAAATGGAAGAAACTGTCATGAAAATCACAGCGCAGTAAGAAAAATAATTGTTTTGTGGCGCGCAGTGACTACCANGGAGGGGTGAATTTTTAATTACCGGTAGTCACTGTGCGCCGCAAAACAATTATTTTTTTTACTGCGCTGTGATTTTCATGACAGTTTCTTCCATTTTTTACAGAGATTAAGGGACGAAAGAGGGTTAATTGATGACGAATTTAATTCTCCGTCGAACTGCTCTTTTTCCATCCCTTAATCTCAATTAGGAGGGGAGGGGTGAATTTTTAATTACCGGTAGTCACTGCGCGCCGCAAAACAATTATTTTTCTTACTGCGCTGTGATTTTCATGACAGTTTCTTCCATTTTTTACAGAGATTAAGGGTTGAAAGAGGGTTAATTGATGGGTAATTTAGTTCTCCGTCAAACAGCCTTTTTTTCATCCCTTCATTTCAATTAGGAGGGGAGAAAAAAATTTTTAATGCGCGGGCGAATGGTGAAAAGTCACTGTGCGCCGAGAAGAAAATTATTTTTCTCACTGGCCCATGACTTTTGTCGTAGTTTGTACTTTTTTGTTACAGAGATTAAGGGATGCAACGGGGATCGATTGATGGAGAATTTAATTCTCCATCACACCGTCTGTGTTTCATTCCTTAATATTAATTAGCCAGCAAATGAACCACCTGAAAAACATTAAGAACATGTTGAGGACGAGGAGCGCATAAGTTCCCCTCCGAAACTATCTCTGTGACAGTGGGACTGCTATATACTGCCGAGTTACCGGCACAGGCAGATCGCCCAGCCGTCAGATTCGACCGTGGCGCAATCCCGCCGTTGCAGTCATACTATTTTTGGCTTCCCAAGCAGCACAGTTCTGGAGGGTTTCTGCAAGTATACCAAAAAGGCTGTCTAATGTCTGTCCAAAAAGGTAACTTGTGTCTAGAAGTTACCTAGAAGTTAACTAAAAGTTATCGTATGACTGCAAGATACCTTTTGGACGGACATTAGTCTGCCTTTTTGGTATACTTTCAGATATCTTTCGCAAGGTTTGCTACTTGGGTTGGGGTCACTTGAACCCCGAGATCTGAGCCTCTACTTTAGTCAATCCTCTTTTCCTTAAAGGGTGGGTTTTCCCTCTCCGCTAAAGTTAGCGACACATCTCGCAAGTGGTCCGCTAACGTTACCTATAGAGATGTAAAATGACCGTCATTTTTTAGATCGCGTCATATGACCAAAAAATGCCGGTCTTGTGACGCTCATGTGACGCACAAATTTTCCAACTCCAAACTATTGTCACAAATCATTTGTAACCAAATTGTTGTCAAACCATCTATATAGTTGCATAATGACGGTCAAACTAATTTCCAATTTGTGACGGTCATGAATAAAACAAAATAGTTTCATCTGTATGGATGGAAAAAAAAACGTGATTTCCATTTCAAAATGCGGATTAGGCCAAAAGAAATTCAACTGAAAATTGACCGAGAAAAAAATAACTGTCATTTTTTGTTGACAAGTTACGACGGTCACAGAAGGGCGAGGGGGAATTGTGACAGCCGTCACGAACGCCTAGTCATGTGACGGTCATATTACGGGTCATGTGACGCATTTGCATCTTTCGTTACCTACATGTATTTGCAACATGTCGCAAAAGTTAACGACAGGTGAAAATAGCGGGGAAATTCAAATTGCAATAACTAATAATACAAATTTTGATTATTTATTGCAACTGAAACTATGAATTATGTAAATGTAAGGGAAGAACGTAACATAACAAAATCTATAACCCCCCCCCCCCCCCCCCCCCCCCCNCCCCCCCCCCAAGTTGAATCATCTTCAGGAACTCGGGTTTTTCTATGCTACATAGTGGAATATTAGTAATTCACTTGTAGATGCCCAAGCAGCACAGTTCTGGAGGGTATCTGCAAGTATACCAAAAAGGCTGTTTAATGTCTATCCAAAAAGGTAACTTGTGTCTGGAAGTTACCTAGAAGTCAGCTAAAAGTTATCGTATGACTGCAAGATATCTTTTGGACGGACATTAGTCTGCCTTTTTGGTATACTTTCAGGTATCTTTCGTAAGATTTGCTACTTGGGTGGCGAAAAACGTAAATAAACAGTCAAAAACTCCATAAGAAAGACCAACTAGCATTTCTTATTATTTCACTCGATTTATGATGTTTCGACCCTTGTGGTCATCCTGCCTACCTCTTGTGGTTGATTATTAGACCCTTGTGATTGTCCCGTTTGCGTCTCCCGATTGACCCCTGTGGTCGTTTTATCTTTGAGATTCTCCTACCTCCCCCTGTTTTCAGATATAATCCTTACGACGCTTAACCCTCGCAAGGTATGATTCTCCTGACTGCTACTGATCAGTAGGTTAGGGAGTTTTGACCATTCATTTACGTTTTTCATCATCTACAAGTGAATTACCAAAATTCCACTATGTAACAGAAAAACCCGAGTTCCAGAAGATGACCCAACCTAAGGGGGGTTTCAGGTGTTCTGTTATGTTACATTCTTCCCTTATATTCACATCTTTCACAGTTTCAGTTGCAATAGATAATGAAAATTCTCATTATTAGTTTCCGCAGTTTGAATTTCCCCGCTATTTTCAGCTATCGCTAACTTTGGCGGCATGTCACATGCGTGTCGCTAACTCCCAAGTAGCACACTTTGCGAAAGATATCTGAAAGTATACCAAAAAGGCAGACTAATGTCCGTCCAAAAGGTATCTTGCAGTCATACGATAACTTTTAGCTGACTTCTAGGTAACTTCTAGACACAAGTTACCTTTTTGGACAGACATTAGACAGCCTTTTTGGTATACTTGCAGATACCCTCCAGGACTGTGCTGCTTGAGCTTTAGCGGAGAGTGAAATCCACCCTTAATTGTGGACAACTCTTATGTCTATATACACTCGGCCAAATAAGTTCTGTCCGACATGAAGTTGGTTCTCTCATAAGGGTAACACGGGGGAACCACCTTCAGGTGGGACAGACGTTATTTGGCCAAATGTATTCTGTTAAGCCGGAATGGCGCTAGTGAAATAAATTCAAAAATATCAGCTGTTTTGATTTTTTAAGGTTATCAGGAAGTGTCTCAATCAATTTCAGCTTCTTAACTTCAATTTAAGCTTCTGTTTTTTCAATTCGTGCTCCATATAACCCATCCTTATCATTCTAATATTTAGTTGCAAACATTTTCTCGGTACCCCATATTCATAAAAGCTCAATAACAATCTAAAAATTTATAATTGACAAAGTAATTCAACAACAATGGCATCGGGACTAGAAAGCTACGTGAATCGTATCCTTTTTCTTCATAATTAAATTAGATCAATTTCATTTCGTTTATTCTACACTATCTAGCCTTGATTATTGTTTTAGATACTGTGTCAATCATCACATCAGATGGACGAAATTTCATCGTAAGAGAATCACTACAATATCCTATTCAATATTTCAAAATTCCGTAATTTTATGATAGTCTATGACATAAACGATTTCAGGGAACACTGAAGGGATTTGATCAGACGATTAATCTAATTCTCGATGAATCTCACGAACGAGTCTATAGCTTAACACAGGGAGTTGAACAAGTTGTTTTGGGCTTGCATATAATTAGAGGAGATAATGTGTAAGTAATTAAACTGAATAATATTGAGAAATAGTTCCTTGCAATATTAAACCCATGAAAGTATTTCATGACTCATGTGATTATAATGCTCATTTTTGACTGGGACATTCGTTTATATCAATTCACCTAAAAATATTTTGCCAGCATGATAATGTTCTACAAACAGGAGGATGACTCCTTTACTTTACCTCTCTAGATCCGAAATTTATATTGACCTAGTGGTATATTTTACATTTTTTGAGCTTTTTACTCGCATTTTGCTGACTCCAAATAATTGCGTTTAAGCGATAGTAAAACCCCTTTTGTGTGTTGAATACAGAATCCACTGTTATTGATTTTTGGAAATCAAAAACCTTCAATCACTCCATTTCTATGTTGTGCAGTGCCGCGAATTTTTTGGTTTCCAAAAATTAATAACTATGGACATACTTCTTGGAACACAGCAAATTGGACACATGCAAGTGTAATGGTACATTAGCTCTTACACTAAGTAAAATAATTCTAGGAACGTATTTTTTCGGACTTAATGATATTAATTGGATTGGAGTGACTATTTACACCATTGATGAGTGGGATCTACTCGGTATTGCAGAACCATCACTGCAATAGAGTCGCGGGTAAGGCCAGAGTTTGATCTGTGAATGATGTAAATAGTCTCACCAAACTGGAATATTAATGATTGCAATCAATTTTTATGCACTGTTTCTAACTTTCTTCCTCCAGAGCAATTGTGGGAGAATTGGACGATGAAATCGATTCGCGTCTGGACCTTGGATCAATCCGAGCTGAACCCCTTACATCAGTGGCTCACTGAAATAGAACAAATTGTAATCGTAAATACATTCATCTTTTAATTATGATGAAAAACAATTCACAAAAATGCTCGCCAACTATAATAAGACATTGTAAATAACAAGTCAAACTACCAGTGTAAATTTTCCACTCTTCGCAATCAAAAAGGACAGATGATTTTTTCTCATACGGTGATTAATAATCATTGAATGATAATTATAATTAAGCAATAAAGTTGGAAAAGGTACCAGAATGAGTTGATTTCCCATGGCTTGTTGACTACGAAATTTCCGATAATGTTTTGATATTAGAACAAAATATCCAAAAATATGATGACCCGTTGCAAAGTTAGTCATCTACAAATCAATACATAGTTAGCCAGTATGTTCGAGAGTTGATAATTAAAGTTCACTACTCCACTACAGAAGCAATGTTAAATAGAATAGGATTACAAATGATGAATAACCAATTAATTGAATCCATATCTATACAAATATATTTTTCAAATATTGATAATGTACATTGGTTTTCTGTGTCTAATCATTAATCCTTCGTATGTCAATAAAAAAACGAATAAATTCAACTGTTTGAGGTAATACAATTCCTCGATAATTACTTATTTCTAATAATCATCCATAGTTGAAAAAAAAGAGAAGAAAGCATTTCATGTACAACAATAGAATATACAGAATTTTTTCGCCTATTTACAGAAAGATATAAAATGTTACTATCCATGTAAATTACAGTTACATCTTCATGAGTGAATATTCTGTCCAATCATTTGTATTTGAGACGATTTACATTATAAATAATGAAAAATAAGATGACTCAACCAATTTCAAGTGATCACTTATCACCAATATGCAATCATAATATCTAATGGAAGTTATTAGCCCATAACTATCTTATTTTGACTTGCACCGCAGGTATCAATCCCGAGTAACTTCAAATAGTGATAAAAATACTTGAGCCATCATGATTCTAAATAATGCTTGAAGATGAAGAATGACACCTCGTGACAATTTTCGATTAATTTTATAAAACAATTTATTATTGTACTTGAAAAAAATTGTCAATCAGACATAATAATAATAATGATAATAATGTAATAATAATAATCATTAAATTATGCTCTCCTTCATAATGTGATTATTATGAACTTATGACGAACTTGTTAGAAAAAAATGATGAATACGTAATTGAATCACTGGATTACGTTTACATTGAGCTATCCTCAATAGTTTGTTCAATATTAATGAAATGAAACTTTGTTCATAATTGCATGTTTTTTTAATCGTGATCTTAGATATCTACTGAGGCGACCTGTTCCCTCTGTTTGCATTATTGGGATTCGCCCGATTTCTGTTTCTTCTCCGCACTCTCCCTCGACTTCTCCCTGGGTTCGTTCCATTACCTCCTACCCAGTCAGGTCCATTAGTCCCAAAATTCATCTGACTTGATGGCCCAAATGACATCATCGATTCATTGGCACTAGGTCCAAAATTATTGAAATTATTGCCTGGGAAAGTTTGATCATAATTTGGGCCAACATCGGAGTACAACGCAGGGGCCGGACCGAGTAAACCGGGTCCTCCATTCCTTTGGACAAACCGTGAATCAAATCCTATCTGATTCTGTTGCATCGAAGGGCCACTTTGAGGGATTGAATTAGGAATCCCAGAGATCCCCATGGGGATGCCTGGGGAATGCTGAATGGGCGTATTTAGCATTCCTGAGATTGAGTTCATGCCCCCTAGCATTGGATTCTGGCCCATCCCCATATTGAGACTTGGTCCTGTCATTACGGAACCCCCTAAGCCAATTGAAATGTCACTAGAACTCTGAGGAATACCTGGCAACATTGAATTTCCAGGAATTTGATTAGATATTTCCAGAGCTTTTCTCCTCGGGTCTGCACGTAGTTGAGGAGGAGACTTTGGAGTATCAGGTATTTGTTTCACTGGAGGTGGAGACATTGGGGAGTCAGGTGTATCGTTCTTAGATAGTCTGAAGATTTTACGCAGCCTAGGATCGTGTTTCACTGCTGCGTCATTCTTGGTTAGCTTAAGACCAGTGTAATTGGGCCTTGGAATGTCCACAACGTAGACTTTGTATGATAATGGCACATGTGAGGCGATGCTGGCATCAATCTCCGTGCAAGGTACATGAGATGGTGCAGGTTTAAATGGTAACGTCAACATTTGTCTCAAGTCAATATCAGATCTCCCACTTTCGAAGCCTGCTATTCTCAAATCCGTATCTCCAAAATCTTGAAATCGTTGTCTCAAATCCATATCTTTCCTTCGATGATCCTGGTCCAGTCTAGCTCGAAAGTCTGTGTCCATACCATGTATGTAGTCCGATGAAGTGATCCCAGATGAGTAGATACTCGTTTCTAATCTTAAAGTTCTAGATTCTGGTTTTCTACACTCTGATATACTTGGACTATTAGGTTTGGTCTCCTCCATTCTTCGTTGACGAGGATCTCTAGACATTCTCGGGTCTCTGGAGACTGGCACTGTGCTCGTGGAGGGTGAGGATTTCGGGCTGAGCACCTCGTTCTCCAATTTAACTACGGAAGACAATGTCTCCGACGAATCTGGAGAATTTGTTCTTGACTTCTCATCCTCCTTGGAAGACTCTTCAAGGCTTCGTTTAACTTGGGGCTTTATGGAAGACAGGAGCTTGGTCACTTCAGCACTGATATCGATTTTGCTCAAATCCCCGAGTTTATCGACGATAGGAGCTGGTTGAGGGACGATTATGGAGGGCAGAAGGGTATTTTCTTGAGTTGGACTGAGCTGATTACCTCCTTCACTCTTCTCATCTTTCTGATTGTCCTTCAAAACTATCTGCAGATTACCATCCTCATCATCATCATCGTCGTTGTTCTCGTTCTCAGACTCATCAGAATACCATTCTTCCTGATCTTTTAAGGCATTCTCCACTGCTGATTTTTCATCAGAGGTGATGAGACTGTCTCCAGCTGCTCTCTGTTGCTGTTGAATCCTCAAGAATAATTCTTGGGCAGTTTTTGGCAAGTTTGGTGACGGTTCCCGGCCTCCAACATATGATTTGGGAGAACCTCTCGGATTCAGGTCTGAACTTGTGAGGTTTTGAAGTGTTTTATACCTTTGATACCCCTCCACATCTTTCTTTTTATCCTCTTCATCAGCTGGAACTTCGATGACCAGGTTTGACTCTTCTTCACGATCACTTTCATCATCGAATTTAGATGTTGATAGATTCGCTGCCTCTTCAGCTAGACTTAAGGATTGAGAAGTCTTCGGCATCGCGTTTGCTAGGAGTTGTCTCAAGTCAATGTCTCTGGAGATTGAGTGATTCTCGGAAGATTTCGATGGAGTTTCGTCAGAGTCTTTCGGGTCCCCTTTCAGTTTGGTTTTACCTTCTAGCACTGTATTTCCCTGGATCTCATTGTAGAAGTCCATATTTGCTGCGATGCACTGTTGGATTAACAGACGCTGTTGGATCTGCTGGTGCTGTTGCATTGCTAGGCTCAGAGCGACATTTGGCAAATTCAGACCAAGTTGATTCACTGTTTGTAGGAGTACTATTTGCTCCAAGGGGACGCGGTCATCGTCGGAACCCCATCGGGTCTTCTTGCCAACTGATTTTTTGTCTTTGGAGGAGTTCGATCGTTTCTGGGACTCGGTAGGAGTGTCGTTGTCCTTTTCGGCGGAGGAGTCGTTTCCTTGAGAATTTAAGGAATTGAGACTAACATCAAAGAGACTCGGAATCTTCTGTGAGTTCTCCTCAGGACCCTGAGTTTGATTCCGAACTGTACTGTTAATCATCATTAAGGCCCTTTCTCGGCTCAGTCGAGGGAAGTCACCTAAGATCTCTTTGGGGGCAGTCTCCAAGTGTTTAAGTAAAATATTCTTCACCTAGAAATGAAAAAAAAAAAAGATTATCAAGAAACAGTAATGGGGAATGCTGTTATTAAAACATGATATATCGCGGTATGAATCCAGGGTTTTCAACACCTATTGATGGGTACAAAACAACGTTTTCGCAATTCAATAGATTAAGTGGTCTACGTCTATTCAACTGTTACGTGGTACACCTTTAAAAAACCGGCTCTGCACATTTTGTTGAATGATATTATTTTAATTATGAATTGATTTTATTGATATGCATTGGAACCTTTCGGTTCATTCTGCGATGTTACATGTGTGTAAGTGAAGATTACAAAAAGAAAATAAATAAAAAATACAGAAAAAAACAAAAAAAATTATGGATTATTTTAGGGAAGAGTGTAATATTGAGAGTGAATTATCTGGCAGGAATTTATGGGACTATAAATAAAGATGAATAAGCAATAATTAAAAATGACAGATTTTTTATGATTTTTTATCACTAAACTACACTAGTAGAACAGAAAAAAATTCTCAAACAAGAGTTATCACCACCGAAAATTTAGCACAATTGTGCCATTTCGAGGCTTTTGAAGGTCATTGCCCTTTTGTGATTCTGAGGTGGCAGGACTATTTAACACTATGCAAATTCAACACAACACATCAACTCAACACACAGCCTATTGAACACAAATTTTGTTCATCACACAGTCAATTCAACACATTGTTAAGTCAACATATAGTGTATTGAACACATTGTTTTGTCAACACATAGTTTTTTTAACACGAACTTCATTCAGCACATACATTTCGGGCAGCGTCACATATTTTTATTCTACGGGAATTTGTAAACAGGAGCGAGGCCTTTTACTTGCTTGTGTTTGAATCGGAATGAAGAGTTTTCTATTTACTATACGAATTTTGTAGTGATCAATCTACATATGAATTTTTTATGAAGAAGCAAATAAACTCATTGATTATGTATTGAGTGAATGTATTGTTGAATTCATGTTGTGAGGAATTTGTTCTGTGTTGAGTTGGTTTTGTGTTGAATTGTTGTGTGTTGAGTTGGGCTTGTATTGAGTTGGAGCGTGTTTAATTTGTGTGTTGAATTTGTTTTGTGTTAAATAGTCATGGAACCTTTGGCACACTGGAAAAACCATTTAGGTGCACTAAACATAAGCCATTCATCACTAAAGTTTCCCTGTATTACAATTAGTATTTTTTTAAATTATTTGTCGATTATACTTCTACCATAGAGAAAGCAATTTGGGTTCCATATCAAAATATCCACAAGTAATACCACGAGAGCTTCAAAATTATCGAGCAATTCCCCATAGGTTCGTTGCAAACAAACGAAAGAGTCAAGTTTTTCAGGTTAATAAAAAAAATCACGAGTGCGAAGCACGAGTGGTTTTTCGTGAAAAACTTGACGACTTCGTTTGTGTGCAGAGAACCTTGAGGGAATTACTCGATTAATTTTGAAGCTCGAGTAGTATTCGGGAGGAAATTTTCCCATTCAAATGTCGGCCAAAAGAATTGCCCTATGAGACAAAAACCATCTGACAGTTCCAACCAGGGGTTCACTCGACCACAGAATCTTTTGTTTTCCACAAATATAGTCAACATGAAAAATTACCAGTCGAATTATCAAAAATTATCAGCTGAATACCGTGTTGACTATATTAAATAACAGTCGAATAGTGAAATTCTATTGGCTGACATTTGGATAAGGAAAATTCCCGCAACAATAAGATCCGCATCAAAATATTCTGGAAAAAATATCTGCGAAAAAAAGATCCGCGAGCAAAATTATCTTATGACATTTTTATCCGCTGAAAATATATCCGCATACAAAAATATCCCCGAAAATATCCGCTAGAAAATGTTTTCAAATAAACTATGATTCCATCCAATAAACAAATTCAAACCGCAATAATAAGTATATCTTTTTTTCGCTGTGTTCATGTTTATTTTCGAGTTTACCAGTCACCCGAAATTTAGTCAGTATTGAATGGGACAGCTAGGACTAATAATGCTGTTGAAGGCTGGCATCATGCCTTCAACAGCAAAGCCCAATCATCACATGTATCATTGTGAAAATTCATCGGTTTACTGCAAACTGAACAAGGATTAAATGAAGCGATAATGGAGCAATTAAATGCAGGAGTTCCATCACCACGAAAAAGGAGAAAATATCGAGATTACGATGCATGCATCATGAGAGTAGTTAACGATTTTCCCAGCAAAAACATTATAGATTATTTAAGTGGTATAGCATATAATATCGATTAGTGAGTGTTTTTTTAAACCATTTGCGGTGGTCTCCTGAAAAAACTGATATTCCTGACATGTTAATATGTGTGTATGTGTACGTTATATGTTCTTGACTTTTTGTTTTGCCACGAAAATCATCAATTAATATTGGATGTCCACGTCATCTCTTCTCTCTATGTTGATACCATATATTATGAATAATAACTTCTGTGAATCATGTTAATTGTTAAAAATACTCGTTGAAAATATTTGTACATATTGTTCAATTCAAATTCTAAAAAAATGTTATTGTTATTGTTCAATTCCAATTAAAAAACTTTTTCTATGATTTTTTTCAATGATAATACAATTCCATACAAAAGAAAATGGTGGATCTTATGCCCAGGAATCTTTTTTCACAAGGATAAATTTGGCTTCGGATCATTTTGCGGAGGATATGTTCAATCTGGATATTTTTTCCCGGATATTTTTACAAGGCTATTTTGACGTGCCACCACAATTTGCCATGTAAAAACCAGGGCAAACAGTAAGTTACCTTTTCCGCGAGGAATTGATAAATAAATACGCGGAAATTATTTTTGACTCCGATAACATGAGTGTTAGCTCAATTCCTCACTTTTGATTAATATTTTTACATAGCGAATCATTGTTCTGTCAGAATGAGAGCGTCATTGAAAAATTCTTAAAAGTCATATTGAGAATGCATTGCCTCCTTGCAGTCAATTTTTAGCTCGCCGATTTATATCGGGTAGTTATTGCAATGGCCCCGAGAACCAAAACTCAAAATGTCATGATATCTCCTCGTTTGATTACCTCTAGTAATTTTCTATGAAGTTTTTAGGAGGAATGTGTGTGTGTGCATGTGCATAAAATTTTATCCAACAATTTCTTCGAATGAATGATTGGATTCCATTTTTTTTACGTAATCGATGTGTTTCCACGTAACTTAGAACTGATTAGAGTCTGAACAACATTGTCTGTTTTGCGATTTTTAGGTTTTTCAGTAAAACTAGTGAAAAAACGTCCAAGAATGATTTACGATGACGATAATTTTACGATGAAGAAACAAAAAAATGTTACAACGGTGAAGTACGCCCCGACATTGGTAATTGAAACTTTCCTTTGACTTTTTTTTGTAACAAAATAAATAGATACATGAAAAATGACCTTTGCTTTGAAACGTGGAAATTTCGAACGAAATCTATATTTTTGAATATTTTTTTTGTGTTGAAGAGTGCCTTTCAAGTAGAATTGAACAAAACACTTTTGTTTTCAAAACGAAAAAAAAGAACAAACTTCAAGATCTCTCATTCGTCTTTTTATCTTGTGTTTTCACCTATAATTTGGGCTGAGCAAAGAAGCAGAACTTGGAAAAATTTGCGACAAAATCATTGTTTTTTATTTCCGGCAAACTCTTGATTGCATTGACGCGAAACAAGTAAAGTATTACATGTTTCATCATGACTTGATGATATACGAAATTTCACTACCGCCCAACCACTATTATGCGTTTTTTTCTAGAGTTTTGTGGATTTCCCAAAGTTTATAAAAAAAGGAGAAAATTAGTTGCACGATAATGAAAGTTAGTGAATTATAAAAAAAAATGGTAGAACACAAAAACGCGATATTTTTTTACATCAATTCTATCAACATTTTGCCGAAAACCTAAAAAATTAGGGAAGTTGATTGAAGAGGGGAATACATTCTTAATATTATTCCCGTACTAAAAAATATTTTTGTGATTTACAATCGATATGCAGTGCATCAAAAGAATTTTATAAATACGTCAAGGGAAGAATCCAAAGAATCGAAAAACCATTCAGATATCGTTTGAAAGAAATAATACCCGGACCTCATCGGGTCCATTTTCCATAACATTTAACTGAGAAAATTCCCAAAAATTTGTATTTCCTCATGAAAAATCGTAAAAGTATGAATTATTAAAACCAGAATTTTTAAAAGTTAGTAACTCGAAATTGATACTCGGATTAAACCATTTATTTCTCAGTGTAAACGGTTATGATGTAAAAGATGAATCGACTTGTTAGATTCTAACACTTCAATACAGTTTAACGCATTAATTGTGAATTCCAACTTTACCTGATCATTGAGAGGTTCATGAGAAAATTTGCAGTTCGATCCAGCTGCACATTTAAGGCCAGTATGATGAAATTTGCATGGAAAATCGTGATGCATATACAGACACTTATCCCTCTTAGCACAACAGTCCATAAGGTAAAATTTACAAAGTTCCATTTTCCTAGGAGGAAGTGCATTGTGTGAAAATGGACAATCATCACCTCGGTGACACTTTCCCTGCATAAAATATACGCAAATTGAGTCTGGGTCCTGATTGTGTTCATTATTTTGAGTCCTCCTTCCATTCCGCTCGTTCCTTGCGCTCCCTCGACCTTTATTTTTCCCAGCTCGTTCATTTTTTCCAGATCTTCTGGGTGTTGAGCCTCGATTGTTACCACGTTTCTCGTCACGATGTCTATTTGATCGTTCCTCCGAATCTCTGTCCGAATTATTATCGAAATTTTCACGTTCATGGGAACGACGAGGGGGGCTTGAATCATGAAGATCTTTTCTATTTACTACTGGAGAGGCGCCTCGCACGAACATAAACTCATCATCATCAACATTACCATTTTCCTCTTCACTCAGCCGTCGTTTCTGTTGAAGAATCAACAATCGGGAATATGAATATATAAATAAATATAAGAAACAAACAAATGAGCCGAAAAGAATGATTCAATTAATACAAGAATATTCTGATCATTGAATTTATTATTGGAGTAGATCATTATCTCCAGAATCGATGTCAAAACGCAGCGACACTTCTATGGCAGTAACTTTTTTCAGCTATCAGAACGATATGCTAACATTATCTTCTAAAGCCCATCGTTTCCATCTTCAACTCATTATATTTTACCAATTATTTGCAGAAAATTGAGAAAAGTACTAGAAGATTTGCTCCCTTTTTCTTTAAGAATGGGAATTCTATATTGATAAATAGGTCAAAAATATAATCATACTTTTTTTTTAGCAGTACGTCATCAGTAGAGTGAGACACGGTTCAAGTATAACCGAAAAATAACGAGGAGAAATTCTTCATTAGAAAAATCTTTGGCTCTAGAAATAATATCCTGATGGTGTGGAATTGGAGATTTGACATTTGGCTTCATTGTTTTTAAATTTCACTGCCAATTCAGATTTTTACTAACAAAGATGGCGATTATTAAATTGAAAAGTTCTTGTCGTGAATTCAGCTGTTGGCTCTACATAAATAGCATCAAAACAATAATAAACGTGCGTAAAAAATGGGGGAATTTTTTATTCTTCTTCAAAAATCGTAGAGCACCAATGCGCTGAACTTCAAATGTTACATCATTAAAAATCCGTCTGCAATCCCGGCTTTAAAAACTACAATTTACTTGAAAGAAGAATAATTTCTGAAGATGAGATAACTGCAAAAACATAACGTCGTTATTAATCATGTAATTATCTCGGAAATGAGTGATTTCGGAAAGAAACGTTTTTTGTTGCTGATACAATGTCTTAACGAATCTTTCTTGAGTTAATTCTCATTAATATCAGAACACCATGAATCAACCTATCACGCGCTACTACTTCAATATAAAATTATTTTCGTACGAAGGATTAAGCCTTTTTGCTTGCTTCTCTTACCACAAGAAAAATAAACAAACCTTCTGTTCTTTATTTCGGTCCTCCTCCTTCTCATCTCGACTCCTCTTCCTATTTTTACTCCTACTAGAAGAGTTTTTTCCCTTACTCTTCTCTTCTTTCTTATTTTCCCCATCCAAAGCAGCCTTGATGGCCTTCTCAACATCACCAGCCCAATCTTCCGATGGATTTTTATACTTAGTAAATCTGTCGGATTTACTTCCTCCTGTACCACTACCAGACGTATTGCTAGCCGATGATTTACCCTTACTTTTACTCGATTTTGATTCTGTATTTTTTTCCCTATGAGACTCGAACTTTAAGATTGTCGATGGATCAGGGGTTTTGACTGGTACTGGTATGGGTTCATCATCTTCATCAGAGGGAATTTCTCCGTCCTCCAAATCATTGTTAGCCGTATTGCTGCTTATGAAGAAAAAGAAACATTACTTCTGGAATTTCTGGATTTCATTTTCATATGCATTTTTCTCTGCTCCATCAAGTGATGAACATTACGATAATAACGAGATGATATGCTGACACATGATGCTCAAATAGTCTTCACTTAAACATCAATAATTTTTCATTTTTTCCATTATCTCAATTCATCGATATTTCCTAAAAACATGAAGACTTTTTCATTGGATTCTATTGAACGCCTCTGATTGATCTCCTCTTGAATTCGAAAAAGCCCGGTACCTATTTATCCTGCATATTAATAGTTGCCAATATTTAACATTTTTAATTTTCTTCCTTAATCGACTTCCATTTGACTTTATCAATAAATGACCCAGCAATTCGTGTCATATAATGAATTAATAATTCACAATTTCCCAGTTGTCAAGCCAACGATTATGCGCAATACCACTATTTATTCATCTATTCCTACCATCTTTTTGGAAATTTCATTAAAACGGAAAAGGCAAGATGAACGGGACAGAGGAGTACTTTCTATAGGAAAAGATAATACTCTTCTAGTCCTTCATGAACTGGACTGTACTGAGATCCAGTGTGTACTGCTCGGTTAAAAAACGTCGATCATTCACCACAAAGCCAAACATCTGGCAATACGGAACCGATCAATAAGGCCTCGAAGCAAAATTTATTTGAAATAAAAAATATTAATACAGAAGAACAAAAAGTAATAATGTCATTTCAATTCTCTTTTGGATTAATTCTGTATTCTGTATCAATCTTTCATTTGTTATTGGCCGATGCACCCAATAACGACTAAAACTTTCAACTTTTAATGGTCTCTAATAAAAAATTATTTGATTGAATTATGAATCAATTAATAAGCGTTAAAAAAGAATAATCACCAATCATCCTATTGGACTCAGGAAAATACTTGAAAATTGATTTTCTTCTTACCAGTTTCTGTGGAGCATCATTCATTTCATTCGTTCATCAATCATCATGTGTTGCATAATTGTCATTATTTTTCATAGAACATCATTTTCGTTATCATTTCATGAACATCACCATTTCATCAGCAGAGAAAAATGTCATAAAATTGTTGATCAAAAGTTTTATTCAATTAAGAAAATGTTCAAGTAGAAAGTAATTTGGTCCATTAATGTTAAATAATACGGAAAGTACTTTTTGATTGTCATACTGTCGCTAAATACCCTATATACTACTTGTTCATCAGTTACACAGAACTGTATGGGTTAGTCAAGTGTATTCAGAACAGTGACAACAAAACAAGAGGGGTCAATTGCGTGACATCATGTTATCCCTCTTTTTTCCGTCCTGACAGATGTTTTCAGGTCTGTTGTTCATATATGTCTGGCTGATTGGGGCACCGCAGCGTGTTCGACCGTGAAGAGAAAATTGAAATGAAATTGGACAAAAAGGAATAACGAATGTAGTGTTTCCGCTTTTTAAAAAAGCCTTTGAAAATATGTAAAAAAAATGTTTTAACCTCTGTATCTCCCGCATGGCTTTATCATATAGTTGTACGCCCATGAAAAAATCGATTAATATGACGTACTGGCTCTATTTCCCGGAGCTTCGAGCGGGATAAGCTTGACGCAAACCAACCAATTATGCATGAAGCTTAACCCTATGCAAAACATTAGGCAACGCGGCTAAAAATATAGTTATTATATTATCTTCTGGAGATTCAGTGACAAGAGGAAGTGAAAATTTTTCGTTAAAAAAATTTCGTTTCTATTTTTATGTTGCTTATTCCGATTTACTATGACGTTCACTGCGCATCAATACCACAATAGAGATTTTCATGACCATAAAAGAAAATATATAAATTCATTGAAGACATTTTCCCTCCACGGTCGAATCCATTCTGCTCAATTGTTTTTTGTTTTTCGAAAAAGAAAATGAGAATTAAGCAAACCTTTGGATCAGTGTTTCGGCCGCGGTAACACTCTCTAGTGCCATATTCGACTACGACCTTGAACTTTTGAAAATCAATAAATAGTTTTAACTATCAACAATTAAACTCCTATTTTCACCGCCGATCAGAATGTGACTGCGTGAATTTTCCCTATTTCAATTAATTTCATAAATAACTAATATCCGCCACTAATATTTTCAACGACAAAATCTACCCGACACTCGACCCTGATGAATCTAATAATTATCATTTCTTCCCAAATAGTCATTGATTGAGGTACTTTCACGGGTGCTTCCGAAAAAATAATACCACGAAAAAAGTACGAAATTTCGTCTCTCCTCTTCTCAAACTGTTTTTCCCTTTTTTCGTCCTCTATTACTCTTTCCCCCACCATTAAATCCGTAAATCTGTTATTTCTTTTCCTCAAATATTTCACTCAATTAAAATATTGGCATTTGTTGTTTTCACTTTATTATACGTTATTTCCAATTCTTAGATCAATAATGATGATTCAAGATCAAGTTTTGCCCCTTCTTTTATATTTCGTTATCTTTAAATCCTTGTGTGGTCAGATCGTCGCCGACAAACAACGTCATTCTAGTTGACGTGGCATGGCCGAGTACCTCCTCGCGACGCACGTTAATGCGACGGTCAGAGGAGTGGGGGAAAAAGGGGACACCGTATTTTCTTTAAAATATTCCTTCTCCTTTTAAACGAGCTAGAACCCGACCGTCACGTGACCCCCTTCCTTTTCAACTCTGTAGCAATGCGTACGTGTCAATTATGACTTTTTAATCTCTCTCAATTTATTCGTTTTAATTTATTATTTTATCAAATATCCAACACGATATGATGGTTCTTTGTAGTCTTTTGGAAGGCCAAGCGACCTCTCATTCAGTTTACGATGATCTTGCTTTTTTTTCTTACGCTTCCACTGGACAATACCCCCTCGACTTTTTCAGAAACTCTGCAAAACTTCCGCTTTTTTTTGCCTCGTACGTGTCATTTTTCAGGTTAATTTGTTGTAATATCGCGATTCGAGAGGGTTGGCGAAATCTTGAATGGCGATGTATCGAGGATGGAAAAGACGATCGATCGGTGCGATTGTTGGAGTTTAATTGGATTTTTCTGCGTTTTAATTATATAAAAGAAGGAAAATTTTTACAACATGGTCGTTTCTTTGGTCGAATTAAGGCGAGTGCGAATGGATTATTTGAATGTTTTTTGGTTGATTCTTGTTTGTTTTTTTTCTGGTTTTTGCGGTGATTTTCGTTGCGATTAAATTGTAATCGATAATAGAGAAAACTTCAAAGATTAACTAAACATGGGCACATCTGGAACTATTCTGAGACGCAACCGAGAGCAACGGAACGGATGACGAAGCCACCCAGCCGCTCCCCGATTTTTTGGGAGAGGGAGAAATGTTGGCTAGCAAGAGCCAATGGGAGTGCGCTCTTTAGGTCACGTGTAATCATGACCAGTGGAGGAGGGATGACTCTCACTAAAGCGACCCTGCTCTTTACTGGGCTTTCGGACTGAATTCCTGGGAATGAAGCGAAGCACCGAATCATCAGGATTATTCATCGTTCCAAAAACATTGGTCGAAATTTTTGTGGGCTCCAAGTTGTTTTTGAGTTTATCGATTTCACTTGAATTTACATTATGACCCATCACAATTGAAAGAAAAAGAATGTAAAATTATTGAAAATGTTTTTTTTTTCATATTGATAAATTAATTACGGATATGTAGATTCTGTTTAATATTATTGGTAGATCTTTATCAGCAATTACTTCTAAACGAAAATATTTTCTTTTACACTAAGTAATTTCTGATAAGCGTCTACGGAGAATCATTATATCCTTGGAACATGTGTGGTAGTTATGACTGTCAATTTAAATTTTCATTTCTTGCAATGGATCGAAATCGGATATTTCTTAGGGTCTCCTCTGGAACAGGTATCCAGGGGTCTCTTACTTTTTTTTTAAAAGAATAGATTCTTTCGAAAACAAGGAGAGGCCCATCATGATACCTGCCCCACATGAGATATCACTGCGAAACCTCCGTTTAGGAAATGGGTAAGCGATTTTCTATGCTGTCGACATCAATTTTTTAGTATTTTCGAAAATTATTGATAATCTATAAATAAAAGATAAAATTGTTAAATAATGAAAATATTATAACATAGTAACAAGAGAGAGATCAGCTTTGCAGATTGAAATGCCGAGGGCGCAGCACGTTTCAACAAATTGAAATGATCGAGCGAAATGTAGCAATTAACTAGAAACTTCTTTATTCATGACCTAGATGTTATATACAATGACAATAATCCCCATTACTATTAGTCTTAACATCTTCAATGTTTTTCGCATGTGAGATCCTGCAAGACGTAAATGTTTGCCAGAACTCGAGAACATTTCCGTAATAATTTGTCATACAATTTCGGTACAAAAATAGAAAGTGAGAAATACATTGTTAGCTCTCCTATCTCTCTGACGAGAATTAGTGACCACCAAGCGTTGAAAGACTGCCCCTCCAGTTTTGTCCACATATCAATAATGCACATTTGCCTCAAATACAAAAATGAATCCCTTAAAATTTTTCTATTTATGAATGAATTACCGCAGGTAATCAAAAACCACAAGTGTCACATTTCACCATTGAAACTCATATTTCGATCATGAAATTATTCACAAGATATTGAAAGGAAAATGTTTAAAAAAATGCGAAAATCTAAATGGTAATAAACACAAAATGCTACGATAGGTCGATCTCTTGTCCTTCTTTTTACTAGTATCCTTCCAAATGTTTCCTGCACATCTAATGGGTGACCTTGGACTGCAATACAATAATCAAGAAATCTGAACTAGAGTTATGAGAAAGAGCCCGCAGGTACATATTTTATATGCAATGAGACTGGGCGAACTTGAAATTTTTATTGTCATCACATCATATCTCATGAACCTCGTGCCTACAAAAATTGTGAGTGCTAATCAGAAATAAATAGTTAATTCTATAGGAACCAAACAAATTCCAATCAATTTTTCTAATCATTTGAGAAGAGAAGCAGATTAAGGACTCGATTTTGTAAACTATTCCAATAGTGTGACGAATCAATTCCATTCCATTCTGAAATCATTTGTTTGAAAACGTATCGGAATTTAATGAAGGTATAGAAAGATTTTTGGAAGTTCTCTGCATCTCCTACTTGAAGATACAAACGAGTTAACATTGACATATTCATCCAAACTGATCTTGAAATTGACTTGATATTCTGTTTTATCACTGTTACTGACTACAAATATCATCGAAAGGGAAAAATTTCGAGAAATTTTGCCAAGCAGCCTTTGTAATATATAAAATTCTCTAGAAAAAAATATACTCTGATATGTCTCAATGAAATCACTCGTATTTCGGCTGTTACATATTACAGATGTTTGGACTCATCCTCCTCCCCAGAATTCATTTATCAAACTATCCAATTATCAAGAATGATCAGACTTTGCTGCCTCTATCTCCTCTACCTTTGTACCTCCCTCCTTAACAGTCTCAGTAGAACGATGATGGAAAACAAACGAAATCCCACTTCTCCAACAATGTCTCAGAGGAATATCAGGTAGAAGCCTAGGCCCATGTGCATGCCTCCAATCCGAAAGATCAGAATTACAATCAGAGTCTTCAGGTGGCCCTTTAATCTCCATTCCATTGACACATCTCTTACACTTGAACTTGGAATGTGTATCCGAAACTGTATTCTCCTCCAGCTTGAATAAATCTCTGAGATCGGTTAGAGTAAAGTGTCTACAAACATCATCCTCCTGATCCACAACAGTAGAACTTAGTGCCTTCTTGTGTGCCTGACGCTGGAAGATCTTTTCCTCAATTGTCCCAGTGCAGAGGAAACGATAAACAAAACAGGGCTTTTTTTGCCCATCTCTCCAGACCCGAGCCATCGCCTGATCATCATTAGCAGGATTCCAATCTGGATCGAACATCACTAATCGATTAGCCCCAATCAAATTCAATCCACAACCTCCAGCTTTTGAACTCAGCATGAAGATGAAATCACCGCTGTCTGGATTGTTAAAGTTTTCCACCACTTTTGCCCTTTTCTTTATCGACATTGTGCCATCGAGGCGTACGTAACGATAAGTCCTCTTAGCACAAAGTTTCTCGAAAAGATCGAGAGTCTGAGTGTAGTTGGAGACTAGAACGATTTTGTCTGTTGTTGTGGATTTAATTGAAGCTAAAAGAGTGTCCAGAACCATCAGCTTGCCTGATAATTCTGGAAGGACCTCTTTTGTGCTGTAGTTTGCAGGTAAAAGCTTGGAAGCACCCTCGAATCCCTCAGAATTCTGTTGGATCTTCTCGTAGACGAGGTCTGGGTGATTGCAGAGCTTTTTCAGAAGTGTGATGGCTGACAAAGCTGATAGTGTACCGCCTCCCTTCTTTTCACCCTCGTGATTTGACATGGATTTCCGAATAGCCTCACTCTTGATGAAGTTCTTGTAAAGGGTGCTCTGGAGCTCAGTCATCTTGACGCAGACCACGAGCTCGTACTTGATGGGGAGATACTTTGAGAGGAGGGCACTCGTTCGACGGATTAGGCATTTATTTACCACGGTCACTAATTCTTGGAGGCATTCTTGAGCTCGAACACGTTCGGAGTCTGACGCTGCGGCGTCCTGACCTCGGAGAATTGGATTCTCGAACTTTTTTCGAAATTCCTGAAAAAAAAATGAATTTATGAGGTGGATCCGTTGCAAAGTAGTAAAGAATGAAAAAAAACAAGAGTTTGAACATCTCAGTGAACGGGAAATTCACTCTAGGAGACCTTTCCAAGTTAGTGAATGTTCTTCGGGTATTTTATCCTTAAACCAATGCCTATACAAATAATTTCGATGACATGCCAAAAAAGTCTTGAATAGATTATCAGAAATCTCATCGAAAGAGGAAAGTTAATTCATCATTAATGAATTATCTTCAAAAGGAGAAAGTTTTGCAATAATGTGCGATTTTCCGAAAATAAATCAATTTTTTAATTGCAAAAAAAAAGAATTGTGTTGTTACCTGAGCAGTGCCAAGCAACCCGGCATTTACGAAATGAACGAGTGAGAAATACTCCAAGAGATCATTTTGAATTGGTGTACCACTGAGCAACACTCGTCTTTTGGCCTTCAACCCCATCAAAGACTGATAAGTTTGATTCTCTGAGTTCTTCAGTCTGTGTCCCTCGTCACAAAGCACCAAGCCCACCTCATCGTGATGTAACACATGAGCATGTAATCGAAATGTTTCATAACTGATGATTAAGATAGGGTTAACACAGCGTCGTCCAAAGGTTTTCATGAATCCAGTTAATTTGTTGTCAATTTCAGTCTTGCTGCCACCATCGATTGCCAGAGGCCTCACACGACTCCCTAACCATTTGAATATTTCATTGTACCAATTTTTAACTAGAGAACTTGGAGCCACGATTATCGCTTTCTCGATCAAGGGTTTTGCTTCTGGTCCTGTTAATCAAGATTGTTCATTATGCATCAATCACGGAAACCAGTTATTTCAAAATTATTCACAGAGCTTACTTATAGACGTTCTTCCATCTAATTCTGATAAACTTACTCAGTTATAACACAGTGCCAAATGATTGTTTCGTTTCTTCTGTCCCAAACGAACACTCGTATTGGTTTTTCATATGAGACGGATTCAAAGAGATACTAACATTCTGCCTCAGACAGAAACAAACATGTGAAATCTGTGCGAGACAGATCTTTCATATTTTTTGGAAAATCTCCACCCAATATAGAACACGGGCGAAAAATAGATCCTATAGACTTGAAAGCAAGTATCAGATGGAATCGTTTGAACCTAGCCAAAATTCGCATTTAAACCGTCTCTTGATTCATCATCTCTCCTAGTTTCAATCATCAATGAGATAATTCCATTATTGGAAATATTTCATATTTCCTGACAATCGAGTAAAATTACTCATGTTCAATGAGGAATCCTTGATAATACTAGAAATATAATAAAACCTTGTTTGAGTAATGTCCAAAGAAGTGTGATACATTGAAGAGTCTTTCCAAGACCCATTTCATCTGCCATAATGCATCCAAAAGCCCCATCGATCCTCTTTCCTGTTACACACTCGTACATAAATTTTACACCCTCTCTTTGATGTGGACGTAAAATATTGCACAGTTGAGGATCCACAACAACATGCACCAGCATCTTGCTCCTGAAAATGAGTCAACATGAATACATTCCCTGAACGAAAATAAGGCTGTAATAGAGACGTCTGCAAAAGATGCACTGATCAATGTAATCATGTAATGTACCCTGAATTCCATATCACAGTTAAATGTCAATTTATTTCGAAAAAAACACTGATTCTAAGAAAAAATTTTAGAATACTTCTTTTGAAACTAACAAAATTTCCGATCAATTTAGCGCTTAACTTACTCATCAATTTTAAGACGTTCGTGCTCTGATAATTCGGGAGGTTCGTAAACCACCAGTGCATTGGCAGCATAAGGATCATGTAAAGGCCTTCTGGGACCAGAGAGTCTTGAGCCAAGCGATCTTCCCGATAACTCATAACCCGGAATGGGGATTTTGAAAGGTTTTTTCAGTAAATCTCGAATTGTTCGCTCCTAAAAATGATCAAGTATGTAACATGTGAACGATGGCATTTTTAAAATAAATGGGTAATGAATAATTGTTGATAACTTTTTTTTTCCCTCAAATGAGGTACAAACTTGTACCTCATTTGAGGGAAAAACCTATCCAGGTACAGTCGTCTCTTGCAAGATTCCCGCTCGACAATGAAACCGTGAGATTTAGAGTGTCACAAATTTTGGCCCCCCCAGCCGGGAATCGAACCCAGGTCACCCGCATGCCAATCCCACACTCTAATTATTTTACTACTTTCTTATATTTTTTCATGTCATAGTACTATCGTCAATTGAAATATCAAAATTTTGCGTATTATTTCTTTTTGTCAGATAATTCTCCATTCAGACCCTCTCAAAATTCGAATTCCTTTTCAGTCCGGGTTTAATCAAAGTTCAATTAAGGTTTAATCAGGATTTAGCTAGAGTTTAACCCAGGTTCTGTCGGAAGTTAGTCGGGCCCAGGAATCAATATGAATAAGTATTCAACATAATAAATTGGTACCTGAGTTGAATAGAGATAGAGATTTTTTTATGTAAAAAGCTCACGATGTTATTGTGTAACTGAATAAACAATGATACTATTCTTACCATTCTTCAAATTAATTAAGAAGGTATTTTAATGTACTTTTCAAGATTTTATTACTGATTTTATTATTGATGATGATTTATTGATGATTTTATTACTATTGTTGATGATTTTTTCAGCAATGATGAAAAAACCAATTTTCGCTTTCAACCAGCATAAAAAATGTGCTGTACCTCAACAACGAATTGTGTGACTCCCATCATATTCTGATAGAATCAAGAGAATATTGTTATTAATTTTTTGAGCCATAACTAATTCCATTTTGATGGTAATTTTTTGAGTGATCTTGAAATTTTTAGAAAAATATCAATTTTTCGCATCTGTATGAAAAATTACATTTTAATAGATGCCAATGAATAGAGCTTATTAAAGTCTATATTCACAAAAAAGTTCATTCAATTCAACTGATCCTTTACAGGAAAATTTCGAGAGAGAGAAAAAATGAAGAAAAAAACAATATATAGACACCATCTAAAAATTGCATATTCGGACTTTTTAGACCATGTTTAGTTACCATAACACAAAAAATTGGAAACTGAAATTTGAGCGATTACAAAGCTTCCATTCGGAAGCAACCATGGTCCTTTTTAGTCTTTTACAGAGCTTTTAAAAATGAAGAATTTAGTCTCTTCAATGTGGTCAAGGAGATTAATTTTGCTTCTTTTCATTCTTTTCCTCTCACCACTTAATTTCTGATTTTTTAAAATAATACTCACATGGTCTGAAATAATGTCCTGAGTTGCTGACAAGTCCTTGTCACTCAATTTAACAGCCTTTTTATCAGCAATGAGTAGTGGATTTCCTTTTGCTGCAAGTCTAATTCGTTTCTCTCTAGGTGCAACATTCTCGTCAACATTCTTCGGTTCTTCTCTTTTATATTGAGTAATTGCTGATGTGTTTATATTCTCGATATTCAATAGGAGGGGACGTTTACCACACTGACTCGGTGCCAGCGATCTATTCTGTATTAAACATAGATAAAACAATTCTTCATTTTTGTAACAGAGACTACATTCGCCACTATCGCTATAAAGAATAAGGTTAAATGCAAAATGTTTGCTCAAAACTTATCTCTTTCGGCCACTTCACTACTGAATTACATTAAAATTCCTTTGATGTTAACCAAAAATTTATTTCTGCTATGAATAAACTCTTACCATCTCTCGCAACTTTATTCACTCGTCACTGACTGTCAAATTTTTACATCGACTTCAATAAAGTTCAATCAAGAACAAAAAATAACAAAAGTAACATAGATATTATTTTTCAAATCAAGTTTTTCCGTCAATAACAAATGAGTTCCGCCTTTGTTGAAACAATATGGGTTGATGGCGCCATTCATCAACTCATAGATTTAACAACAGATGTCTCGCGTCCAGTCGAAAAAAAAACTTCACCGTCGATTGATCCTCATCAACACAAAACCTTTTTAAACTGGTAACAAATCTGAATCTTTTTGTTGTGTGCAGAAAATTCCAGAGTATTAAAAGGGCACATCTCTCCTGTGTTCAGCATATATACATATATAGATTGTATATGTAGTGGGCGTTCCTCACTATATACCTGTGAGTTTGCAGCTCAAACGGCAAACGGTTAGTGATGTACATAAACGCAGGGAAGTATGATCGACTAGACGTCATTGAGTTCAAATTCACGTGAGATTTTGTAAAGTTTGTTTAAAGTTGATTGAGATTACTTCGAAAATCATTTAATTTACATTTATGTTTCTCACTTTCTGATAACGGTGGCGGCTAGGGAGGCTAAAATTAAATGTGATAATTTAATGGTAAAAATCAACTGGATCTGACTTTAGTCAAAAAGATAAAACGAACTAACATATTCAGAACTTAAATTTATATGAATCATGGCACTTGAAATCTCCACGGAATGTTCTAACCAAGGTTGATTAATTAATAGTAATTATAATAACAATTAAATAACAAGAATAATTGAAAATGAAAAAAAATGTCATGGAAGATGAAGGTAACACCACTACTGGGCTAACAACAATTCTCCAGAACTTAGAGCGGGTTACTACGGAAATGAGTAAAGCTATTTACAATGGGACAACCTCCGTGGATTATCCCACAATTTCAGATTTCATCAACGAAACAACACAGGTGGATGTGTTGAAGGCTGTTGCTACACCACCAACAACGAATTCAACAAGGAGTTGTACAACAACCACTACTGAGGAGCCATTTGATGAGTTTGGCCCACCTGATGGAGTGGAATACATATTTGTCCCACTCGGGGTGATGATATTCGTAGTGATACTCACTGCAGTGGTGAGAATGCTTGAAGAATCTTGAAAAAAATTCGAAGATCCTTGAAAAAAAATTCATTGTTGACATTATTTTGTGACAATCTCATCAAAGGACCTGTATCACCTGAGAAAATATCCACAAAAATTTTTTTCCATTCTCCTCTAGATCGACTCATGTCCGAGCTGTTTCAATCATAAGTGACATGCGATCTTTTTTGTAGCTGTGGAAATATCTCTCAGTATTTGTTGACGTAATTACACTTTCTTGAGATATTGAAGAAAATAATTTTCTCTGAATTTTACAATTCACCCCCGTTTACCACATTATCTTGTAAATAACTGGAATTATGGAAGAGCAGGATTAATAGCCCCCTATTGTGTTGTTATCAGTCGTGTGATATCGAGGAGAAAGAGAAAGAGAAAGAGAGAGAGAGAGAGAGAGAGAGAGAGAGAGAGAGAGAAATTTTACAATAAAAAGCAGCCGACGTGATACTCAGTGGTCCTCCGTTCGATTCTTGGCTGAGGGCACGGCATTATTTTCTCTACAAAATTTCAATGATCTTCGAATTAGTTTTACCTAACAGTGATAGGTGGAATTGGCTGCAAATAGACACATCCATTTTTGCTCCTCACAAAATTTCCTTTAGAAAAGGTTTCTTTGTAGATCAATCATATTCGTATTCAACTCGGTGAGTTTGACCATTTCATAATTAATTCATCTTATGAATCGAAGGTATTGATAATATCAAGAAGACGAAGAATGGAGCGTCTGAGACACAGGCTCATGCCCCTGTACAACTTTGACCCAGGCGAGGAGGGTGAAGATGATTGGGAAACTGAATTACTCGACGAAGGACTCGGAAGGACCCAGAGACGAGTATGATCACATTATTCTTCTGTTTTAAAACAATAACTAAAATCTAAACTCAACTGAAGAATTTAATTATTTCAGCAGGGATATCAGTCGATGGATAATGAAGAGAATGTCGAATTATTTAGCCACTGACGCACGATTCGTCGTGACTGCAGCAATAAAAGCGATGATAATCCAATGAGGATACCACATCATTTCTTGAATGTAACGGATGGCAATGATGAGGGCGTGGAATTGCAGTCCATCGACGAAGATGTGTGCTGACAGTGCTCTCGCACTACGAAAATTTAGCCAAACATTTGAATGGCAGCATTTCCATGTAGAATTAATAAGATCCATACTATTTCATTCTTGAAATTGAGGAGTGATTTTAATTTTACAGAGATGTTTGAATGTTGAAACACTAGGATCAATGATTTTCTTCATATTTAACATCTTATAGATAAAAGAGGGATAAAATAAGGTGTAAAGAAGTGGTACACCACAACATATCGACTTTCCGCACCTTCGACATTTCTTATTCCTGATAAAGTTATCAAAATGTTCTACAATAGATGGGTAATACAATATAATTTTCATTTCGGCAGTTTTCCTTCCAAGATTCTCACTATCGTACTCATGCCATAATTGGAAGGAAAGTCATAGAATATCTCTCAAGGAATTTTATTTTCGACTGTTCTTTCTGGCCCTCTCTCAAAACTGTGTGAAAGAAATTTGACGAACGAAAGATCATTTATGTCGAGAAATTTTTATAAAGACTATCTGAACAGATTAAATTCTATGGGGAGATCAAAATCTTTCAATTGTGTCGCAAAATAAAAATTTCTCTCAAAAATGTCTCTAAGTTCTATTTTTCTTTGATTTTTTTTCAAGCATGTATTTTATAGTCAATATATCTATAAAACAAATAGTGTGGCAGGTTCCATGCGACTGTTACTCTACGCATTATGTTTGCTCCTTTCATTTTTATTTCTAACGTTAGGACCAATTTAATTGGTATGTATGCTTCCGAGTGGATTCGAACTTACTCTGGAATCACACACATTCGGTCACAGACACATATACCCGACAATATTCTGGAAAATCATAATATAAAAACCATATTGTGATGTTTTTTTATATTACTTACTTGATATTACTTTTGAAGTCATCTCCATGTGTGAATAAGTAGGAACATGACAACTTATCAATTGTTGAAGGAGATAAATGGCTTTATCTCAAGAACTATTGGGTAGATAGAAAGGTCTTATTTCGAATTTATAACTCATATTATCATGCAAGCAAGCGAGTTTCAAGAAAAGCAAATTAAAAAATGGCCATATCTCTAGAACTTCGAATGAACGAATATTCATATTTTGATTTCGAAATGCTGATTTGAAAGGGAAAGTCATTGAAGTCGGTTGAGTAGATTTTGAGATATTGAAGAGTTTAAAAAATAATACCTCATGGATTTTCAAAACTAAGAGAGATTTTCTTCAAAAAGTTCTGTCACACAAAAATATCAATTTTTCGGAGAATCCGAAATCCAAAATTTTTTAGAGACCAGCTGTTATTTTATTGTATTTGAATCAGGCAGAGTCGCTAAAAATTTTTGATTATATTATATGTAATTATTTTAAAATAATTTGTTAATTGTTGAGGATGTAGTCAACGTTTCATTATTCATCCAACTTTTCATGAATTCTTCAAGATCTAGGAGTATTTGGCCAGTCATTCTGTATGCTAGCATAGTGAAGAGTAACAAGTGAAAACTTTTTTAATTGTGAATTTCCTATAAAAACATGTGAATAATTGTATTTTTTTATAACGGAGCAAAGTTACGGTTGCTTATGAATATATTTCCGAATGAGATAAACTCTGATTCTAGTTCATTATCTTCTTTGATAAATGAAATTTTAAAAAATACACACAATCCACACACACACATACACCCACACGAGACTTTTCAGGCTACGCTTACTTGCAAAATATTAGAAACTTAATTTTTGAACAATAGATTGCTCTCATTTGATAGCAAAAATTAATTGTGTTATCTTGTATCTCGATCACGAATAATCGTATTCGTATCATCTTTTGATTAAAATGAGAACGCATTGGAATGAATGTTTTAAATCATAATTTGATTGATTTCGCAAATGTTTTTTCCATTTCATTCAAAAACCGATTTTTGAAAACACATCTCACAAATAATATGTTGTAATTGAATAATGAATATTGCAATTACTATCATATTCTAATAGAATCAAGAAGTCATTGACGTAATTGTATTATCAATCATGATTAAATACCTTTAAATAATGATTTTTAAAGTGATTGTTAAAAAATTGATTTTGCAAGAAATATCATTATTTTTGAAACTTACGATAAATTGAATCTTCAACGGTGTCAAAAGGTCGGGCTGATTAAAGTCCATATTCAGAAAAAAATAATAAATTTCACTAGTTTCCTTATAAGAAGATTTCAAAAAAATGAATGCAGACCTGAGACTACCCATATGCATACATACAGACATAATCTAAAAATTTGAATGTGGAAATTACAAAAAAGGTTTTTGGAATGCAGCCATTTTTCAGATATACGTATAGTTAACGAAACTTTCCCTCTTGACTTGAATCGTTCTACTATTATTCCGATTTCAGTGCTTAAAAATATTATGGGACGCTCATGATCGAAAAAAATTCCCAAAAATGTTGGAAATAATTCGATAATCCTATAAAATTACTTGAATTAGTCTTTATGCATTTCGTTTATTCGATCGATTATAAATTCTACAACAGCTCTAAAAATTTAGTCTTTGGAGGGCTTTTCAACTTTTAAATTGAAAATATCCGTACTAGTCGAATGTATGTCATTTTATCAATCTACCTGACATTTATTTTATTACATAGAACACGAGGAATCATAATGGTTACAATTTAATTGTATTAATATCCAGTACTTTTACAAGTTTCAATCATTGATGAAAAAGAAATACCAATCGTGCAATGTATTTCAAGTATAATTCTTCAACTTTGAGGCGATGATTGTTCATTAAATGTTAAAATTCACATGAAAAGGGTGATCGATTCCACATCGTCACATCTAGTTTTCGAAACTAATGTCAAATTCCTCTTTCGATTTTCGACACGACGTCATTTTTTACACTATTGAGATCACTCTTTACTTAAAATATGGGGAACTGGCCGAAGATTAAACGGTACAGAACTCAAATACCGTCGAAGGTTTTTTTCATGTGGACGTCTCCAAATAATATTTAAGGGTGTACTTCATCATGACGCTTGAAAATTGATTCAATTATAGTTTTTAGTATATTATGTTCATATCTTGTAAATACTGTTTATACAGAAGTTGACAAAAAAGAAATTGACAAATCTCTAAATTGCTTCAATTAATCGCTACATGACAAATGAAGAAAGTGCAATATTTCTGCAAATGGATTAATATTAAACAATCAATACTAATCAACTGTACTACAGCTGCGTCCATGCGATTCTGGAATGTATCTTTCAACGTGCCAAAGACTGAGTAGCCGGTGACAAAATTCGAATCTAAAAAATTTTAAAATTGCTAATATAATGGCCAATGGAGAAGATACTTCCAATTAAAATATGTGGCAACTTATGAAATACGTGCGTACTGCAGAGAACGACAATCTGTGGTGTCAATTGCATAATTATTCATTTTTTAAATTAAAGGGGAATTAAAAATCCTTTGATTAGAATCAGAGGAGAGACGATTCTATGAATATTTAATACTCGTCTTTCTGTACTGGATTAAGCTAAGATTATCTTCGATTTGAGATTTAGTCAGAAACTTCACCTGTGATAGACTCGACTGTTGCGCATTTTTCAAATCTGTAGCGAAGTGATGGAGAGAGACAAGTACAAAAATTTCATATAGATTGTTTTCTTCGTTCTAATTTCAACCAATTAGAGTGCAGTATTCAGAGTCGCGTCATATCTTCACATCAGTTTTATTTTGATCTAATCTACCCCGCTTCGGGTGGATTATCAAGGTGATAATTCCACACTAGCCTATCAATTGTTTTCCTATTTTTGACGGATATTTCCCATACATTCGTTACATGTTTCACGTAACCCCAAACGCGGCACTTTAATCGGTTAAAATGAGAACACAAAAACTATCCTCCGAATGCTCTTCGACTGTAAAAATTCATTAAATATGTTCACTCATGTTTTCCTACCTATAAATTATCAGCATAAGTTTTCCAATAAAACCCCTTTCGCACCAAAACTATAAAAAAAAGTGTCGGGGTATGACAACGGATTATCTTTGAAATGTCTCGTTCGCTTGGTATATAAAAAGAAATATCAAGCAAATCTTTTCTTAGTCCATGAAATTCATTAAGAACACCGAGTACGATGTTTTTCTCCCAGCCGCTTATTCCAAACATACTCATGAAATAATCTGCAAAATTATTTTGCACTCGGCGTTTCTTATTCCAATAGTGGGATAATTTTTAAATGCCTCCATGAATGATGAAAATAATCAACTCTATCTGTTTTTATTAATTCGGTATAATCCAATGTGTATTGTTGCAATAATCAAATAGCCAGTTACACAAAGTTGTAGCTATTTTTCTGTTCATGTGAAAAAACAACCACTTTCAGCATCATTTGCAAAAGGAATTGTAGATAATAATGCAGTAGTTACATACAATAAAATCGTATAGCTGGCCTATGAATCATGTAATGGAAATTATTAAACGCTCTTTTAGTCATATTGTAATCTTTCGGATATAAGAGCGTAACTCAAATGGTTGAAATTATTTTCGTCTGAGAGACCCATCGTCAAACCAAAGTCCTTATTCACGAATTTGAATTATTTAATTTCTTCAACTAAGCATAAAAGTATTCAAAACAGTAAAAAATCCAGAATAATAATAAGAAAAGTTAAGCTTCAAAAGATTTTTCAACGTAAGAATGATTTTCTCGCCTTGAAATACCCCCCCCCCCCAACTCACCAAAGGACATCATAATTACAGGATGTACCGAATTAAATAAGAGTATTTTGTGAATTTATTTACTTTAATACAAATTTTACATTCACACAATGTTGCTGTCTCAGAAACGGACCTCTGTTGTACATTTGTTTGCGTAATTATTACATTTTTTCCATTTCATTTTTTGGACAATTGCAATATGTTGAAATAGACTTCACGCGTTCATAACATACTAAAGAATATTCTACTGTTTTGCATTCTTTAAAAAATTTTCGTTTCTAGTTACTCTTATTAGCGTCTTTAACAATAAAAAATTTCAAAACTGGACTGGGGATGTTTGTCATTGTGGAATATTTTTTTTTTATTAATTTATTTAAATTGAATTCGTCATACGTCCGTTTGAGAATTAGTATCAGTGTGCACGAGTAGATGAATAAATTGATTAGTTCTCAATAAAAAATAATCAAAAGCTAAGGGAGAGAAATTACTGCAAAATTCACAAGATATTTTCAAATGTGTTTTTAATCCTTTTTTGTTCATTTATAAGTTGTCTGGCGTTTTGTTCTCAATAATTAATCGACTGGACCTTTCAATGCCGTCAAATTTCGTCCAAGATGTTAATTGATAAAATAATATTTAGAAAAGAAGAAAATAGAAAAAAATAGACGCACTGTGCGTTGAATTTATATTAAAAGTAAAATTCATTAATAAGTTTGCTCTTTCCATACATCACTTTCAACTCATTTTGTTCATAGTTTTTATTCGCAACTTTTACTTGATTGAATCGGCCATCTTATCATTAATTATTCGAAATGTACATTTTCATAGCTTCTTGAGAAAAGTATCTACTCGTCACACGGTTTTCATCGCGTTACCAAACAATGTAAATCTTAGAAACAAAATGCGAAGAATTAGAATGATAGAAGGACGTAATGTAGACTCAGGCAAAAATGATTTGTTCTTCCTTTATATGTTGTTGATGAGACTTCAGTTTATGAAGATCATAAAGATGGAATTATTTTTTCTCAATCAGTTCAATTCTCCTCCTCATCCTCCTCGTCTTCCTGCTCGTCCTCCTCCTCACCAGTACTCTCTGGTTTTTCTTCCACTTTCTTGGGCCTTCCACGTGCACGACCTGATGATGGAGCTGTTGATTTCGGTGAACCCTGCTACGGAAAAAAAGAAGCATTAAAAATTACACAACGGTTCAAAATATGAACTGGATCATTTTCACCAATCAATAATTGTTTACAATCACAAAGAGTGGTCAATATCAATCAGTAGGGGACCGAGAATTATTGAAAAAAAAGTCTAAGTGATTAAATTTGATGAGATTTTCTCGACTTTTATTACCTTCTTTTTATGAGAGCCCTTAGGTCTTCCCCTTCCCCTCTTAACTGGTCCAGGTGGTGCATCATCCTCATTATCAGATTTTGGTGGGCGTGGTGTATTGTTGGTTTTTTCTGCTGCTGATCTACCACGTTTCTTAGCCTCCTTAACAGCACCTTTATCCGTTTTCGCTGGCCTCCCACGCTTCTTCTTCTGCTCTTCAACTACTGGTGAATTGTCGTCCGACATATTCGAACTTTGATAACTCTAAAAGAAAGAACATGAACTTTTCAAATTAGTTCAAGCTCAATTAATTATTTCCAAGTGTTGTCGAAACATTATCTATTAATTATACCTCCCCCAATTGAAGTTTATGAACAAAAACTAGAGGGCCAAATATATAATATATTACCCCTTCCCCCTCTTTCACCGTGTGTAATTAACGAACATTATTTTTGATCAGTTTTATTGGAAAAACACATTTTTCAATTTTTGAATGTAAAAAATGAAACAATTTTTGAAAATAAAATTCAATTATAATGATATTGGTGGATGCCTCAAATAAATGACGAGTATCGATTTTCTCTGAGGGGTTGGACGATTTCTTCAAAGACATTGTGATCGATAACTCGGAGAAATCCTTGATCAACTTACATATAAAAAATTAAAAATCGTCATATTTTTTGTTCCAAGAAATATGAAATTCATTATATGCCCAACAAAATCTCTAGCCATTCCAAGCCCTCACTCGCCAGCCCCATCAAATTCTTAACGTTCCCGCCATCACATTGGTAGAAAAAAACTCGAGAGCACAGAAAAAATCGTAAAAAACGAAGAAAATTACTCGTAAAATGTGTAAAAATCACATAAATTTCTCTGTAAAAATTCCAATTTGTATCGGGAAAGTAAATTCATACTAAATTATTAACCAACGAAAAATCACTCGCCCGCCATTTTCAAAATACAACTTGGAGAAACCTCGAGAGAAAACGACGCGTGGGTCACGGCGGCGCCCTTAACCGTTTTCGACCCGAGAGTGAACCGACGCCAAACATCGTGGAAATTCGCGCGTCACTTTTATCCACTTCACAGAAAATCCTGATGCAAAATTTGCCTCTAGAAAAATGTTTAAGATGGCTAAAAAAAAAAACTGGACGAAAAGTTGAAATTTTCAAAAATCAATCACGAATAAAATCAGTAGAATTAATTGAACAAATGACTATTTTCCCGGCTTGCGACGCCATTGAATCGTAGTGTCAGAACGGCGAGAGGACGACGCGGCGTCGAGCGTGCGTCCCAAAACCCACAACACCCGTAAAGCCATTCCGCTTGCTGCGAAAATTAATATCTCTGCAAGTAAACGATCTAACAATCCCCAATTTATTCGAGAAAATTTCTAATTATTCAAACTAATTATTAAGATTCTGTTCACATCACTTCAAACTATGCAATCATGTGGTTTAAATAAATATATTGAATAAAAATACCTTGGTTAAAAAATCAAATAATTTTTAATTAAAACACGACGATAAACGTTCACAGTGGATACTCACCTCCGGATCTTTCGTGGTGTTGTAGGAGACAAAGGCGGTTGCCGGTGCGCGCGTCGTAGCGTCGGCGTCTAGCACACTGAGACGCGATTCGAGTTGCACTATCGCGAATGCCCTCCCTCAAGCTGTTCTCACACACTTTCCTATCCACTAATACACTCCAAGATATTTCTTGTATGTGTAGAAGTATAGGGACTGTTTATACGATACACTGATGTGCTTCTTCCCCCTCCTCAAACACTATCCCCACTACTCGCGGTCTTTTAGTTCTCATTCTCCCCACCAGCCCAATTCCATCTTATTCTTTTTTTTATTGTTTACTGAATTGTTTATTTGTCTCTCTCTAATTTTTTTGCAGATATATATATATATATATGTATGTGTGATTGTTTTCGTGGAATTTTTTATGGGAATCCACGAGTGAATCGACGAAAGACAATTTTTATCAGGTTACTTGAGCCGATAAAAATGTTTTTCAATTATTTTTCTAGATAATTGTAGCTCTTGAAGTTCTCTCACAGCGTTGCAATGTATTCCCGCCAAAAAATACCCCACTCCTTCCTTTCCCCCACTCCTCACGTGGGATTCTCAGCCGATCGATTCATTCGGGAATCTCCAACCAAACGCTGATTTTCTGTTACTAATTGAATTAATTTTCTTTGAGTTTTTGGTAATAGTTTTTGAAGAAGGAAATTTTTCCACTTATTTTTCAAGGGAATAATTCTAGTCTCTCGACAAAGGGCATTGTTGAGTTTTTTTTTTATCATTGGACGTGAGGGGCGGAAATTCAGTGGTAGCCATGATCATTTCCGTTATGGCGGGTACTTAGGCATCGATTTCAGTGGTGAAGAAAATAATTAACGGCTTTATGATAATTTTAAGTTCATTTCAGGATTTATTTTTCCGGGTAAAAGATGATTTTTTTGTTTATTATTGAAAGATTTTTTGGGTAAAACGGGTTGTGAGGATTAGAATTTGGGAAAATAAGAAGTGCTGAGTAAATTGATGTGTGGCGGGGATTACATTGTTTCGAGTCATTAAGTATTCAACCCATTATTACTTTTTTTTCTTTGTTTTTTTGCATTTGTTTTTCTTGAGAATGGTATACCAAAATGAAAAATAGGCCATGAATAATTCATGTAACAGAAATCAAACTGGTTTTTCTCTTAATTTTTCTTGCCTTTTGTTTTAGACGTGGATACGTGTATGATTTCATTATAGGGGGCATTTAGGGAAAAAGTCCTAAACAGTTCTTGTGTGATGGTGCCATCTATCGTAATTCTAAAACCTTCTAGATTTTTAGAGTTTTCTAGAAAATTCGGCAGTCTTAAACACGTTGAGTCCAACTAGTGGTTATGAACTCGTTGGGTCCAAGTCATAATGTGCTCCCATCATTGGGCAATGTAGTTTTCTGCACATATTGCAATCGGTACGGAAGGGTTATGCACGTGGGTTGCCATCACGGCCGCCAGATGAGAATCGCTCACTGTAGAGAACTTAACGAATCCGAAATCCCCCACGCCGCTGTCGCCAATTTGTGGCTTACCGACGACTGTACTCAAGTCAACTAAACATGAGTCATGTCACACAACAGATAATGTAAACCATCAAATTAGACACACGCATAAATTACGACGGAAAATTTTGCAATGTACCAGTATAATTGTGGACATGGAAAAGGACTACAAGTATTTTGTGACATGAGAAATGATGAGAGAATAAATTGGAGTGCAATAATTGGGCGCGAAACTGAGTGGGGATTCAAATTGACTCCACACCATTAATTTTACATTGTTGACTATACAGAAATGAACCATAGAAAAGGACCGCTCTCAATTATGGGGACTCTGATGAAACTGTTGATATTATTTTCTGAACACGGAATGCAATATTAGATATTATGTACGGAGGGATTCTATTGAAAATAAAAGGGGCAAGAAAATTATACACAATGGTAATGTGCTGTTAATTTTCCCCATATGAAAGTTGAAATTATCCACGCATAACTTGGGCACATGTTAAATGTACTCAATTGTTTAGTTTTCATCACATCTCACTACATTCTTTTGCACCGATAACTAAGATGGTATTCAATTTTCTAAATGGAGTATGTAAATGGTGGAATTTCCCGGCCGAAGTTTAACCGTCGAAATTTTCCAACAACACATTCCAAAACTGAAATCCGATTATTGGAAGGTATTTATCAAGTTTGCTCAATAAAAGAAAGATTGCCAACAGCGAGTGCAGAGGTAATAAAATTTTAGCGATTCTATGTGCAGCGTTTAAATTCGGCACGCTGCAATTTCCGATTTTTATTTCGTATTTTTAAACGTGAAGAAACTTATCGCCTGTCCTGATTTTTTGTATCGAACAAAACGAAATATCGAATTGCAAAGACGTTATCCTAATGTATCCGATTTCATAACGTATGTGGACAATTTTTACAGAGATAATAGGGGAGATTGCTCAGGCTTATGGGAACTGTTCGATCAGAGTTTCATAGCGGTGGCGCGCATGAACTAATCGAGAGGCCGTCTCTGTGGGTAAAGAAATTTTCATCTATTACCATGGAAACAGTCGATAACAGGGATGCGTTCCCAATCTTAAATCCAACATGAAACCTCCTTTGCATTCACTCATCCGCTTGATTATCCCATTTTCGTTCATACAACTTCTTATTGTCTTAATTTGTAAATTAGTTGATCATAAAGGAGAGGGAGAGAAGGAATTATGAAGTCTTGAGCGAAAGAGGATCATTTATTTGAATTTCTATACAACTAGATCTTTAATAAAAAAAAAATACGAGCAATTCATCTTATTCACATTTATTACATATTTTGTCAGTGATACAAAGGTAATGAATGAATTTCAAATTATTTTGATGAGAAATATATTCAATATTTGTGAGAGATTATATCTCAACAAATCTCATACACATAATGGGATTAAATCAATAATAATAGATTAACGAATGAGACTTTTCGCAGATTATTGCGAGATTTAAATGAATGGTTTGCATTCTTCAGTGACCATAAAAAATTGTCTCCAATCGACAATATCTCCCGATGGAATGGAACGATGTGAATGAATCAATTGATACTTAAGTATCAATTTGAATCTTTAAAAAATTAATCGAGAGTGAAAAAAAATCAGGGAATTTAACTCTGCCATTATGGAGTTTTTGACGAGTGAAGTTTATTCACTGTACTCTGACATTTCTCTATTGTCTGTATTTACCGAGAAAAAAAAACGTTGTTCCTAGGAATCGATGTGTCTTTTTTAGGCAGCTGCATTTCTGAAATGCAATGAGCAAGCAATGTTAAAATTAAGTCATTTTGTAAAAAATTTCTAGTGACATGATCCTGAAAATCAAAGGAATGTCTTGAAATCAGGAATGATGTCTGTAAGTTTCAGTAATATTTTCGCAGAAATTCCGGGAACTTATTGGGAATTTTTATAGCGTTGCCGTAATACGGAAATTTCAAGGAATTTCGTCATTGCAAATTAAAAATTTCTATAAATTTCAGTCCAATTATATGTGTACGTCCACGTGAAAAGGGCCCATTTTATCGCATCTAATTTCCGAGATATTCACGTTTTTCTCTCCACTCCATTTATCCCATTGTTAAATTGATTTTTTGATCTTCTATACGGACGTCACACGGAGAAAAATAAATCGGTAAAAGTCTTGTGATCGCAAGGAGTTTCCCGAAGATCCCCATTTTTCATGCACGAAGAACAATGAAGCTTTTTGGAATCTTCGGGAAATTCTATTCTATCCTACTCAAGTAGGAGCGGAGGAATGAATTTTCAAAAGTGCGGACTAACCGGAGGGGCTCCTCCGATAGGGAAATTCATTTCTCCCCCCCCTAATTACGATGAAAGAATGAAAGCAATATCTATCGATGGAGAATTATATTCTCAATAAATTACAGCGGTTTCATTGCTTAATCTCTATTAGGAGAGGAGGAATGAATTTTCAAAGCGTGCAGTAACTCCGGACAAGTTCTTCTCATTCAAAAATTAATTTCTCCCCTCCCTAATTGAGATGAAGTAATGAAACCAAAGCTGACCGATTGAGAATTATATTTTTATTAAGTGACATCGGTGTTATTTCTTAATCTCAGATAGGAACGGAGGAATAAATTTTCAAAAGCGCGGAGAAACCTCGAACGGTGAGCCCGGAGGGGCTCCCCCGATTGGAAAATTCATTTCTCCCACCCTAATTGAGATGAAGGATTGAAGCCGATGCCGATCGATCGAGAATTAAATTCTCAATGAATGATAGCGGTTTTATTCCTTAATCTCACGTTGGAGCGGAGGAATGTATTTTCAAAAACGCAGAGTAACCCCGAACGGCTCTTCGGAGGGCCTCCCCCAATTGGAAAAGTCATTTCTCCCCCCCTAATTACGATGAAAGAATGAAAGCAATATCGATCGATGGAGAATTATGTTCTAAATAAATGACAGCGGTTTCATTGCTTAATTTCTATTAGGAGAGGAGGAATGAATTTTAAAATCGTGCAGTAACTCCGGACAAGTTCTTCTCATTCAAAAATTAATTTCTCCCCTCCCTAATTGAGATGTAGAAATGAAACCAAAGCCTACCGATCGACCATTGTATTTTTAATGAATGACATCGGTTTCATTTCGTAATCTCCGTTAGGAGCGGAGGAATGAATTTTCAAAAGCGCGGAGAAACCCCGAACGGCTCACCGACGTCGAGTGAGCTCAGAGGGGCTTTCCCGATTAGAAAATTCATTTCTCCCCCCCTAATGAAGATGAAGGAATAAAACCGATGCCGTTCGATAGAGAATGAAATTCTCAATAAATGACGGCGGTTTCATTCCTTAATCTCAAGTAGGAGCGGAGGAATGAATTTTCAAAAGCGCGGAGAAACCCCGAACGGATCTCCGACTAGTCCAATGAACAGGCTCCATTTTTTATGAAATTTGTGATTTAGGCGTATGAAACTAATGGCGGATATTTAAGGTTCCCCAAGTTTGTGCGGGGGTTGAAAAAGCCAAAAAACTACCCCTGAAAACAGTTTTTTCGAAATAACTCGTGAATAACGCGCTGTGCGTCCAAAAACGTACTACACAAAGTTGTAGAGATCAAAATTCTACACAAAAAATGTTGAGGGCACTTTACC